CGGGGAGATGCTGCCTGCCAATATGGTGCCGTTTCATTTCAGAGAAAGCCAAACAGGAACAGCAGGCCGAGAATTTCCCAGTGGCCTTTGTGGCAAGACAATCAGTACAAGTGAAGGGCGGTACCGGGAGTGGTCCACCCCACCTGGCTAGCAGAAAAGCTGCGCTGGGCTGTGGTGCGCAGGTGAGTGATGGGGTGTGAGCTCCAGCACACCTGAGTCTCTGTCCCTCTGTCCTCCTCTGTGCATTCACTCCAGACAGTCACTGAGCATCCAGTCTGCGCCAAGCACTGTGCTGGGGGTCTGGACACACAGGGAACAAAGCATGCTTCGCGCCAGAAGGAGCAAAGAATAAGAAAGAGACGTGTAAGCAGAAATGTTTCAAACACGTAGAGGAGGATCTCAGTGAGGTGGGTGTAGGGAGAGAGGGTGCCCTGAAGATGCTACAGAGAACAGGGAAGGCTTTCGGGAGTGGGGGAGAAGTCAGAGACTCAAAGAAAAGCAGCTTGACCCGAGAAAGGCAGAATGAGGAAGGTGTCCCAGGCAGAGAGAGAGGTGTGCCCAGCCCTGAAGGCCAGCCAGAATGCAGGTGGGCGCCAGTGCTGGGCTGGGAAATGGTGGTGGAGGGGAGGCCAGGCATGGGGGCGCTGAGCCCCGGAGGGTGCGATGAAGGAGTAAATGTCTACACCGGGGTTCTCTGCGTGGATGGGACCAGAGCACCAGCATCTCTTCGAATGTGCTAGAACACCAATTCTCAGGCCTGCCCGGGACCTACTGCATCAGCAACTCTGAGGGTAAGGCCCAGCGATTCGTGTTTTAACAAGCCTTCTAGTGACTGTGACGTGTTGGTCTAATGATTTTACCCTCCAGGGAACATGTAGCAATGTGGGAACACACTTCTGGCTGTCAGACTGATGGGGCTGACGTATGAGTAGCATTCAGTAGCCTGGGACACCGCGACACATTCTACAGAGCACAGGACACACCCCAGCACAACCCAAATGGCAATAGTGCAACCGCTGAGAAAGCCTGTCTCTCCCTTCTCTCTGTCTCTGTCTCTTTCGTTTCCCTCCCTTCCATCCTCCTCCCTCCCTCCCTCTCCCCTTCCTTCTTTTCTTCCTTCCTCCTTCCCTCCTCTCTCTCCTTCCTTCTTCCCTCCCTCCCTCCTTCTCTCTCTCCTTTACTCCCACTTGTCCTCTACAGATAGCAGAGAACCCAAAAGGCCACAGGGCACTCCTCTCCCACATACTTATTTATTCAGTTACAGCTCTCTCCTTCTATCCAAGTATTAACTCCCCATGACCAAGCTGATCTGTGCCTAATGGAGACACGATTTAATTTCTGCCCAGAAGGGTACATTTACCTTCCTGGGAGCAGGGTGGATAGTCACTGCCCTCATGCCTGGAGCTGCAGGTCTCAGCCCCTCCTCTGCATGTGAGTCCAAACAGCCCCGGGTTCTGGTTTTGGCTTGAGAGACAGCTCCAGGGGAAGGGGAGGTGCAGGGGGACATCCCTGCGCTGCTCCCCACAACACGGAAGGGCACATGTCTCCTGAGAGCACAGACTCTAAACAGAACTGTACTGTGCAAGTCACATGAGGAGTCTGGGACTAACCAATGGACGACATGGGCAGATGGAGACACCTGTTAGAAGGAGGTCTGTCGGGCAAAGGAGTGAGGAGACGGAGTCATGAAGGTGAGCACTAGTGGCGCCCACCCGACGCTTTCCGGGGTCCCGTCTGCCATGTGCACCTGTCCCCCTTCGTGGCGCAGATGCCCAGGCCCTAAGGTCTGAGGTCACTATCCAGCCCGTTCCCCGGCCTCCTGGGCTTTGCTGCCAGGGTGTCCCCACGGCCTCCTGACACCTGTCTTCCCTACGGTTTGCCCACATGGAGAGAACGCCTGGGGAGGCCCCTAGGAATGTCAAGTCTGCCAACAGTTGTGTTTCTCACTGGACATGAACCAGTCGGCCTTCTGGTTTCCGGCTCTAGCCTCTACTGAATTCCTTAGCCCACCTGCGTTGGTGCAGTCAGCCCTGGGACACTGACACCCCGGAGCTTCTGGACGTCTGAGGTGGAGAGAGGGCCAGTCCATGGCCCGCAGGGAGGGCCCCTTGGAGTCTGAGCCGGGCAATCAGCCCACTGTCTTCCTTTGGTCCTCCTGCCTCTCATAATGCATCTTTTCCTCCAACTTCGACATTCCCATCACACTCAAGAAGTGTACGTGATGGACTGAAAACGGGCCCCCAGGAGGTGGGGTCTATTACCTGTTTACTCGTCCCTGAACCTGCGATGGCGACGTGACGTGCTTTGGTCAACAGAACACAGAGGAAGTACCATTGGATGGGTCTGAGACCAGAGATCGTGCACCCCAAGGTTGCCGTGAGTGTAAGTCCAAGCTCGGCTGGCCAAGCAACAAGAGACTCAGGGCCCAGCCACCCCGATCATCCCCGGTGACAGTCAGCCAAATCCCAGAAGTACAGACATCCCGCTCAGGTACAGCTGACCGCAGATGCACAAGGGAGTCCAAGCAAGACCGACAGGGGAACGTCCCAGATGAACTCAACTTGCCAGCGTGCAGAATCATAAGCTATAAAAATGGCTATTATGTTAAGCGTTAAATTCTGGAGTAGTCTGTCATGCAACAGTAGATAATGATACAACAGTATTTGTGTTTTTAGTAATTCCCAATTTTACCCTGAACTTCCTGCCACAGTTCCTCCTTGAGAAGCCATGGGATTCTCCTCTGAATGGAGAGCAAGGGGGATTTACCTGGTGTGACCTCAGGAGCATCAATGTCCCTGGAAGAAGGGACAGCCCCTGCTGCAGGAAATGTTGGGTTTGCCAACCTTCACTTGTGGAGAAAGAGGAGGGTTAAACACACAAAACTGCATTTCTCGGACACAGACAGATTTCTGACCTTCAGCCGGCGGTCAGGGTCTCCACTGCACAGAGAGTTTACTGATACTTTGAATGACTTCCAGGCTGGGCTTAAGTTATTCATCACAACCTGAGAACGACAACAAAAAAGAGTGGAGTAGTGGTGAGGGAGAAAAAGCTTGACATTTTCACATTTCAACATAAAAACCTGAGAAGCTTTGTGGTGCTTATGTCTGAAACAGGTGCTTTCGTGAACACCTGAAGCGGTAAATCTCCCCAGGGTGCCCACTGGGTTGGTCATTATAGGCAGAACCATGATGGTCACTGGCCAGGCTGTCGTTTCATGAACAGTAACAGTAATATTGTCCAGTGGTGGATGCTGGGCGCGACCCCTTCTATATCAAAAGGGGTTGGGATTCAGGAGATGGGCCACCTCTGGGCTCTGATGAAAGGTCCCAGTATGGTCAGCCCTGCAGCACAAATTCCCTTCTGTTGAGGTCAGCACGGTGGGTGTGGGGGCTGGGGGCAGAGGCAGGACAATTCTACTGCTAAAGCACTGAGTGGTCCTTGGTAACCTGTGACCTTGGCTAGATCAGACTGCAAGTCAGAGGGAAAGTTTCTAGAAGAAAAACCCCAGGAGCACACTCACACGCGCTACACTGGGAAGGCATGCAGGGCAGGTCTCCAGACCTTCAGTGCCACAAACGAAGACATAGTGAAGCCCTTTTAAAAGCGGTTTACCAGTCATGAACTTGGCTAAATCCTGCCCCCGAGTCCACACGAGTCAATCCTATGCCTCCATCGCTATGATGGAAATTATTCGATTTGGTTTAGAATGACTGAGTACCTGATCTGGGCCGAGGACTGTACCGTGTCCTCTAGGGCAGAGGTTTCCAAAGGTGGGTTCCCAGACCAGCAGGCGCTGCAACATCCGGAACTCATTAAAAATGCAAATTTCTAGGTTCCATCCAGACATACGGACAGAAACTCTCTAGGTGGGCCTCTAGGTGATTCTGAGGCAGGAAATTTGAGCACCAGTGCTCTGGGGAACATACAAATGAAGTTGAGTGGGATTCTGTCATATTGATTTTTCTTCTTAGGAAGTTTTCAGTTAGCAGAAATCTTAGCATTGTAAAAAGAAATTAATTCTCTATCCTAATAACATTATTTTATAAGTAACTCCCTCTTCTCCTGGATTCTTTGATATAACTATGAATTACTGATTAGACTGTAGGCTCATTATTAAATTTCCTTTGATGCACTAAAGTAGAAAAATACTGTTCCCAAGTGACTTTGTCTTCTGCTCTGAGTCCCTGAATGATCAAAGCGATAGTGAGCAAAAAGTGAGATTAAATTGTTTTGGTTAATTTAAATTTCTCACCTTTAGATAAAAATCCTGCCTCACTGCAACAGTTTTGTAAAAACTCAACAGCAAATAAAAATTTCAACTAGAAATTTCCTTGGAAATTAAAATATGTGTGTGTGTGTATGAATGTGCATGTGTGCATGAGTGTGTCCATGTGTGTGTATGCACACGCATGCTTCCCCAGAGAGAACAGTATTGTCTAGTATTTATTTTGTATCTGCTGAGTAAGAAAGGGGGGAAAATCAGTGTTATGTTGTTGGAGTCGTTGGAAAATTTTACAGTCACATGTCTTGTGAGACTCTGGCAGCCCCTCGGCAAAGGGGTAGGGGTACGTTCTGGAGATTCTTGGGAAAAGGAGAGTGTGCCAGTGTCGATAAGGAGAAGAGGGATGGGGTTGGGAGCAGAGGTGAGAAGCATCCTGTGAGAGACCTAACAGTACGTCAGCCGTCTCCGGTCCCCCTGCACACTCCAGGCCCCAGTCACCGAATGGAGCAGAAGCAGGAATGAGCACCACTATTTACTTCTTTGGGAGGAAGATCACTCCACCAAAGGCATCTTGGTGTGGGAACAAGTTCTACTTGGTGGTGGTGATGGGGAGCCACTTGGGGAAACCGTCCCGGTTGCACCTGAAACTGTTCCCCAGGGATCATGGTCCAGAGCATCACCTGGTACTATTACAGGGAGTAGACACATGAGCTACACTCAGCTCCATTCACTCTTTTACTAAACACACTTTAAAAATGCTAACTATGTACCAGATGACATCCACAGACTAGCCCATCTAAGACTGTTCGATTCTCATCTTCCTTAAGTATGACCTAAAAAGTTCCCAAATACTACCTGCAACCCTGTTACTTCCAGAAAACGGAACTGGATTTCCAGCATGGGGCTTGGGACTCTGGTACCCAACTCTCACCCTGGGAAGGTCACGATGGGAGTTCCTTCTTCCCTTACCCACCACTGGTAAACACAACAATCTTCTCTCAGCTCCAAGCCACTTGTGAAAACTACCCCACTTCTCTTTATCAATGCGCTTCTCACCCCCACACAATCTCTCTTGAACTGCCTTGTAAAGAAAATAAAAGCGAAACCAGAGATGGGGGTTGGCTGTTAAGTGGGTGTGTGGCAGTGGGCGGTGGAGGGTGGGGTTCAGAGCCACGTGGAGGAAAGGAGGGAGGGTGAGAGGGAGGTGCAGCCACAACAAGTGGCTGATGATTCAGGGCAGCTGTCCAGCTGGTGGACCTGACATCAGTCCAGAGCGTGGATTCCCCGGGAAGGCAGGCTGGCTGCCTGAATCACAGTGAAGTTCAGGGTCAAACTCAGTTCGATCCCTGGCTTACTGGGAGAACTGGTAAAGTGACCTGACCTTCCCCAAGTGCAGTTTCTTCAACTGTGAAACGGGGTAATGATAGGCATGTCCAGGGATTGTTGTGAGAAGGAAATAAAATAATGGCTTTAAAATCGCTCAGCACAATGCTTACTTACTACCTGCACGTTAGACGTTAGCTAGCATTCACGCTTTTATCATCAATTAATTGCTGGTTTTCTGTGTTAAAGGTCAATAATGGAAAAGGTGGGCAAGAGAGGGTCTTCTCGTGTGCCACCTACACTGAGAGTAAAGGGTCCGCCTGAGGAGCGTGAAGACACCGGTCTGGGGGGATAGTCACAGACATTAACGCACGTGAGGGGGAGGGTGCATGCTTAGTGTACATGAGGTCCTGGGTTCAATCCCCAGCACCTCCATTATAGAAAAAATAAATGAATCTAATTGCATTCCCCCTCAAAAAAGTAAGGGGTTTCTCCAAACAGGTCAAAGTGTCACCGTAAGGAGACAAGGGGGCCCTTCTCACCTCAGTCCGGTGCACAAGCTGCTGAGTTGCATCATCATTCATACGAAAAATTTCCAGGAATGGGTCCGACTTACTGAAGAAATCCTAAAACAGAGAAGCAGAAATGAGCAGTTTCCTTCCCCTCCATGCAAACACGTGTGACTAGAGAAGAGCCCCAGAATCTGCCCCCCGCCCCCACCTTATTCCTCACCCCAGGGACCCAGCCTCAGGAGAGTGAGCTGCATCGGAGCCCTGGGCCCGTCAGAGGTAAGTACTCGGTGGGCTGAAAGTAGTCTTCAAAGGTCAGTTCAAGTGCCATTTCCCTGAGGAGCACTATGTCTGCCGTCTTGGAAACATTATCTACAGTTACTGTGAAGCCTGCGTCTGCTGACGGCAATACCTGGATCACTGTGGGTCTGTTTTTATCATCTGTTTCAGGTTCTGACTCCTGTTCTGCTTGTTAATTTTTGATTGAATGCTAGACACTGTGTGAAAAAAATTACACAGGCTCAAGATGAGTCTCCAGCTTCCAGAAGGCAGTGAGTTCCAGAAGGCAGGGGGCAGCCACCTGAATCTAAGCAGGGCTGAGTTATTTAGAGGTTAGTTTCTTCAGGAGTCTTTCAAGGCCCAGTCTACTTTCGAGTCCTTGACTCCTAGGGTGTAGTCCCTAAAGGGTTTGAACTCGAAAGCTGAGCATTCAGGAGGGCTCTTCCCCCTGGACCAGCCCTCAAGGCTAATTTCTATTTG